ATGAAAAAATGTTTATGTTAGAAGTCAATAGGAAAATGAATGGCTGTGTGAAATATGAAGACTGTACTCCAGAATGTTTTTTGAAAACACACTTGACAAAATAGGCCATAATTAAATTATGTGCATCGCATTTCAAAATTTGATATATAGGTTAATACATAAACAGGAAAATATGGGATTGTATCGATCTGTTGATGTGCAAGTCTGTCTCCAGGAAATAGTTAAAATCCTGCTGTCAAAAAGTATACTGAGATGGATATCTGTGCATTATCCAGGCATGATTGACATGGAGTTTGAAGAAAATTGTACTTGCAAATCATATTAACTACATTAGAACTGGGACAATCTAGTCTGCAGGGACAAAAAAATTGCAAACACATCTCTTTTTGTTTTTGCTAGAAGCCAGAGGGGGGGGGGAGAATGAGGGGGAGGGAGGAAGAAAGAGAAAGAGAATATTATGTCATTTCTAAATGTCATTCATGTTCAATGCAAAATGACAAACTGCATATTTATGGCATCAATACTTCTATATTAGATTAGAAAAAAGCAAGCACTGTGGTTTTTCCTCTTCTGCTCAGTGTTGTTTTTGCTAAAATAGTGAGGAGTGGTATGAAAACTTAGGAGTAGGGAGCAGAACACTGAATCAAGCTCAGAAAGAGTTCCTCATCAATGGAAGACTTATAATGCTGAGTTGGAAAAAGATCTTGATTTAGTTCCCCCCCCCCAGTAAAGTGTTGCAATCTGGTGGTGGTTTGCACTCCTCAGGAGGGTTGAAGAAGTCAAGGAAGCTTAAAATAGACAACACCCTAGGATGCCACAGGATATAATACATGAAATCAATTATTTCTAATTACTTTCTCACCTTACATTCTTGAACAATCTCAAGGATTCTTCAAATGCATTATGCTTCCATAGCATCTGACTAAAAGGAATGATATTAATATTTCAGAAAGTCCTGTCTTACTCTCTAGTCTTTGTGTAGGCAATTGGACATTCCTAATTGAATTGTTGCAAGGGGCATGGTGGCTCTGTGGCTAAGATGTTGGGCTTATTGATCAGAAAGGTTGGCAGTTCAGCGGTTCAAATCCCTAATGCCATGTAACAGAGTGAGCTCCTGTTACTTGTCCCAGCTTCTGCCAACCTAGAAGTTCAAAAGCATGTAAAAATGCAAGTAGAAAAATAAGAACCACCTTTGGTGGGAATGTAACAGTATTTTGTGCACCTTCGGCATTTTGTCATGCCAGCCACATGACCATGGAGATGTCTTCAGACAGCACTGGCTCTGGCTTTGAAACGGAGATGAGCACCACACCCTAGAGTTGGGAACGAACAACACATATGTACAAGGGGAACCTTTACCTTTAATAGGATTTTTGTGGCTGGGGAGGAGAAAAAAAAGACATAACTTTTATATTATTTACACAAAAATGAAGAAATTGATACCCAACATACAATTTTTTGGAATGAAGTGATCTGGTCCATACTGCACAGTAAAATGGGAACTGTGAAGAGAAGAAACTTCATCACTCTACAAAGATCCTCACTTGGTTCTCTCTTTGCTATCTATTATTACCAAAGGGGGAGGGGGTAGATTTACTGATCACTGTGAGAGTAGATCAATCTGGAAAGAGAGTGTGTACATGCACATGAGATCTTTATGCCTAGACACATGTACAAAAACCATCTCAATCACTTTCGTAAGACACTGTACGGGTGCTTGGATCTTTTCCTAGTTCATATAATTTAATCTGAAGAAGATAATTGTATTCACATACAGGTGAAATCCTTCACATGGCTTTCATTTGTTACAAATGTCATTGTCTCCAACAGACAGGAGATCAGGACTTACAAGATCTTCCAAATAAAGGTTTCATAATTAGAATAATTTATGAACTGGAACCAAGGACTATTTATTTTTATCTACCTTTTTTTTCTAATGCCATGAAAAAATACCAAGCACTGAGACTTTTACTTTATAGCCAAGGGAAGGATTTCTTCAGCTCCAAAGTGCCATAAAAGAAAAGCAATTTCAGCAAATAATAATCTTAAATTCTCATAGCAATTTAATACACTCTCTCCTGTTTTTCTCCTTTTCATTGTTTTTGAAATGTTGAAAAGCAGATTAATTCTCCCAGAAGCAATATTGTATATTTTGTCACATATAACTGTCAACCGATCAAAATACAGAAGCAAATTCTTATAAATATAAACTACATAGCTGACTTATAATCTTCAAAGCAATAATAAATGCAAAACTTTGTGATATACAATTTCTTGTGATAATTCCTCTAATAATCTGTAAAAAATAGTCTACAGATAACATTTACACTGAAGCTAAGAAGCCTTTGAAGCCACTTCAGATATTATAGCTATTGTGTAGAAGCCATCAAGCACAAGTAGTCTTCAAGTTATGATAGTTTACTTAGTGACAGTTCAAAGTTATAATAGGCTTGTTAAAATACTTATGACCCAGTCCCAAAGTTACATTTGTTGCAGCGACCATGCACTTGTTTGCCTTTAAGACCAACTGCAGATTCTGCAACACTTTCCTCCACCTATTTCTCTCCCTCCTGCCCTGCCTGGTCCACCCCACTCTATCACTGATCACTGATCACTCACCTCCATTTGAAGGTATCCAGGCCTCAGGATTCTGGGCTTCTTTATTACTGGACCATGTGGCAAAAAAGGATCCAACTTTTTCTGAGGCACTGGAAAAAACCGCTCTGCTTTCCTTTGTCACTAGACACTAGTCTTCCATTCTCCAGTGAAAGCAAATGGCAAGAAATCTTCCTCTATTTCCTTGCAGCTTGACTTCAGTCCCTTGATAATGGCCGGTGGAGGAAAAACTTGGAAGGAGCAGAAACCTTTTCTTCTGGGATAAGCTTCCCTTAGGTGCTGATACCCCTGTAGACAAACACAGATGCAACTATGATGGGTGGACAGATAACTTGGAGGGAGCAGAAAATGCTTCCTCTAGAGTAAAAGTCTCTTAGACGCTGATCTCCCTGCAGACAAGAAAACATAGAAGCACCCATAAAACATTTTCCTTCCCTCTATCTACCATTAGCAGCATGTGTGTTGATCTTTAAGGAGACCAGCATGCAAGGAAAGTTTATTCTAGAGCAGTGGTTCCCAAACTTGGCAACTTTAAGACTTGTGGACTTCAACTCCCAGAGTTCTCCAGCCAGAAGAGTTAGCTGGAGAATTCTGGGAGTTGAAGTTCACAAGTCTTAAAGTTGCCAAGTTTGGGAACCACTGTTCTAGAGGAAGCACTTTCTGCTCCTTCCAAGTTTTCCCTCACTAATCATTGCTGCAGCTGTATTCATCTGCAAGAAGATTGGATCTGGAGATCTTTGAAATGTGAGTGAGTGATCAGTAACATGGGTGGGGGGATAGGATGCCCAAGCAGTACCCCAGTTGGTAAGAAGTGGAGATAGGATATCTTGGTGAGGGAAGGTCTTGGATGACTGGAGACAGATGGTCTTGTCCCTGCACTAGGCCCCTCATAGTGGTCCCCACCCATCAGGTATCCCATATTCACTTACCAACACATACATTCGATTAACAAATGCATTGGGAAGAGGAGGGATGGAGCTTATTCGTTTAACACAATTCACTTAATGTTACAACCATAATGGGCAGGCTCTATTAGATTCATAACTCGAAGACTATCTGTATTGCTATCTAAAGTAAGAATAGTAAATATCCCCTCAGGTGATATTCACTATTCTGGTGAATAGTGTCCAAAAACAGTTTAATCATTTTATACAAAAGACACTTTTCCTCATTAGCAGTAAATGTACAATAATAACAACACAGCTAAAAATTTACACGCCTTTTAGAATATAAAATATGTGTATTCTCATTTTGTGTAAGGTCTGTCTTTCTATAGAAGATTTCAATTTCAATTTAATAAAATTTGTATGCTGCCCACTCCCTTGGGACTCTGGGCGGCTTACAGACAAGATGAAAAAAAAACATTTAAAAATTTAAAGATAAAAATACAGTTGTTAAAATTACACACCATCCATTCTGTCTAAGTGGGGCTGGACATTGATCAACAGCCCCAGGCCTACCGGAACAGCCAGGTCTGAGTGGCTTTACTGAAGGCCAGGAGAGTGGTAAAGGTCCGGATCTCTACGGGTAGATCGTTCAATATGTTAGATTCATTGATCAGCAAGAATATATTTTGCTGATGAAGGTTTCTGCATACAGTCTGGTTGATCTCATGATAATTTCTTGGTATGGTAGATTTAATTTGTGGTGACCAGTCAGCTAGCTCTTAGCTTTCAGATATTAGTCAAAATGTACTCAACCTATATGAATGTTCTATAGACTCAGTAACTAATATAAAAGCATTTAAATGTGTTTGGAGGGGTGTTCATATGAGATGCTACATTTACTTTCTCTATTTTCTAGCATAAATATAGAAGACAATATACCATTCCAAATATCTGGATGGCTAATGAATGGACCCTGGAATTAAAGTTTTCTTTATCTTTTTGTTGCTACATATAGTTATTCAGATTTTTGCATTCCAGGCATGTTAATCCTATGATAGAGAAGCAGAATTTNCTAACAAGAATAACTGAGGGATAAACTTTATCCTTTTTTAAAGAACATTTTGCATAATCCACCATTTTTTATCCAAAATGCTTTTACCACCTTATATGGTAATATGTAGCATCAACACAATCACCCCCTTTTTTATTCTTAACTGGGGCCACCAATGGCCCCTGGGGGCATGAATGGGTCCCTATTTGGGGGTAGAAATGTACAGATTTGTTCTGCAAACCTTCTGGCAGATCATGGAAGGTATGATGTGAAAGCTATACAGGTCATCCTCATTTTAGGACCATTCATCTAACAATGGCTCACAGTTATAAGGCCTTGGGGAACGTGACCTACAACCTGTAGTACCACATAACTGGTGCACCAGCTCAGGTTCAGTTTTTATTCTTTCTATCTAAAGCAGGAGATGGGAAGGAAAATGAGAACCGCCAAGAATCCGATATGGTGACATCACCAGCAATCCATTGTCAACTGAGAAAAGAGATATTTGGGGTTCAGTGGAGGTCTCAAACACACCAGGAAAGCCACTCGAAGCCTGGTGAGGAGAAATCCTTGAGTTCTGGATGTGCTGGAGTCCAGGAACGTTTCCTGACCAAAGGGAACTGGGAAAGGACGAAAAAGGACAACTGCTTCATATGTAAAAAAATGCTGAAAGGTAAATTGGATTTGCTCCCCCTGAACAGGTAATACTTGACTTAAGAATGCACTTGGGAGCTGGATTTCCATTCCTAAGTGGATCAGTTGTTCAGTGAATCATGCAGTTGTTAAGCATAACCCAGCCTCCCCCATTGATTCTGCTTGTTGGAAGCCAGCTGGAAGGTTGCAATTTGCAATCACATCGTCCCAGCTGTTCTGACCCAGCTCCCCAAACATGTCAAATCCTCAGTATTTAAATCAAGTATCCCTTTATTAGGAGTGCCAGCAGTCCTGGCAAAAAAAGTTTCTCTCAGTGCAGGCTAACAAATCTGTCCAGCAGGGAGATGAATAGTTGTATGCCACATCTATTCATCTCTGCCCACTGCCTTTTATCCCCAGGGCGAGGGTGGGGCTTTGCTAATGGCAGTGGCTCTTCTGTCCCAAGCCCTGGCCCATAGCTTTCCTCTGCTCTCCTCTCCTCTGCTTTCTGTGCATCCGCGTGTGTTCTGACCCCTCTTGTCCTACACCAAAGCACGCCAAGCCAAAGATGCTTCAAGGATTTATTAACACACAGACAGGACCTTGGCAGCAATCCAGCACAGTCCAGACTTTGGCAGCAATCCAGCACAGACTAACCTTGGCAGCAATCCAGCACAGTCCAGACTTTGGCAGCAATCCAGCACAGACTAACCTTGGCAGCAATC